AGGATAGGGGTTGTGGAAATTACTAACTTTTTGATTGAAATCATGAACCGATTGATGTTAGACCATCATTGAAAACCTGGAAGCACTGGGAGGCCGTTTCGTCCTATTGTGTGACTCTTCAACACTGCGCATCCACTATCCCGCCTGCTGGATTCAAACCCAGGGCCTTAAGCCTCGCGCGCGAACGCTTAACTACTGAGCCGGCATCCAATGGTGATAGTGTCTAACATCAACCAATCTACGAAATTGGGCGACCAACTTCCATTGTACTGAGGTAGATACCTGTCTCTACCTGACATGGATTAGCTCCACTGTTCACGGTTTCTCACCAGTGAGCAAATGTTGATTACTAGTTTAAGGGTTGTGGAGTTTATTAAGTTTTTGATTGTGATCATGAACCGATTGAGGTTAGACCACCTATGGAAACCTGGAAATACTGGATGGCCATTTCGTCCTATTGTGGGACGTCTCAGCAGTTCTCATCCACGGTCGCGCAATTTCGTGGATTGGTTGATGTTAGATACTATCACCATTGGATGGCGGATCAGTATATCGTATCAATCCAACATCCAGTTTAGTATTAATAAAGTCTCAATACTAAGTACATTATAGCCGTATAACAGGGAGAAACGAAAAATATTTTTATTCTCCCATTATATCAACCTAGTTCATACTAATATTCTTTTGTTTGCTATAATGTAAAATTTACCATTGATTACAACATTTCGTGCCTCTACCTTGGATTAGATACCTAACAAATAAAAAAACATAGACATATTCATCTAATTATTGAGTAGATAATATTTCCCCCACTTCCATCCCTTTTTGTAATCTACAATCTAATGTTTCTATCATCAACTAAATAACTTTCCCCTGATAGGACCGATTACTATTGACTAAATTACTAATTTACATAATGAAATGAAGTTATACATCTAGGCTACTTGAAATGACGTTGAACACAATCTGCATAAGGGCATACAAGTGAAAAGAAGAAAGAAAAACAATAGTGTAATTAATGAAGTATTAACGTGTAGACTTTTATGTAACATTAAAGAAATACCGCATTATGATTATTGTAATGATAAATATAATGTAAAATAACAAAAGTTAAATATCTGATTACAAATATACATTATGATTATGTAATTAAAGAAATAAACAATTTTGATGGAGTTTTGTTCTCTGAGCTGGATGGGTTGGTCGTGGAGCTTTCATCATTCTTCTGAACGACATCATCATCACAAACTTCAGATAGAAGTGAAGTGTTCGTTCAGAAGAACAATGAAAGCTCCACGATCAAACCATCCTGCTCAAAGAACAAAATCATCCAGTAAGCTACATATCTTCTCCACCATGTCGAGAAAAACAATGACTGATCTAATCATAAATTTTCAGTAGATTATTTCTTTAAATTGTTTATTGTTATGTAATATGTAAGAATTCAATCACTCAATCATTACTGTCATTTTATTCTTTTGAATATTTTAAGAGTAGCTATAAGTGATTAGGTTCAATGAATTTCAGATGGGTTTTGTGGTTATTATAGTAATTTCAGTGGTTAAGATCATGAGTCAGTGGATTAGTTGAAGTTAGACATTAACACCATTGGTTGCTGGCTCAATGGTCTACTGGTTAAGTGCTCACGCGTGAAACCAGGAGGTCCTGGGTTTGAATCTCGCAGGGGGAGAGGTTGTGGATGCGCACTGTTGAGGAGTCCCATAATAGAACGAAACGGACGTCCAGTGTTTCCAGGTTCTCCATGGTGGTCTAGCTTCAACTGACTCATGATCTTAACCGTCGAAATTTCAATAAGAATGTTTTAAATTAACTAGAAGTGATGTTTTGAGCTAATTATATGACATTATAATTGATTGATCACTGATTAGTGATTAATCACATATTTATCTAGATGTTCAAATGATGATCAAATGTTATCGATCAAACATAAAACCTAAGTTCAGAGATTCAAGTCCATTATATTCACCAATTAGTTTATATATCAGTATGGTGCACCTTAAGTTGAGTCACTTAAACTGATTAGAACTTTCAGAATTGCTAGACAGAATCCGATTAACAGTAAATGAATTAGATAAATATGACAGTTGGGAATACTCAGTAGTTACAACGTAGTGTAAATGTTCATTATAACATATTTACTTTACCCTAAATGATATCATGATTATTTTACATTCGGTATATTTATTAATAATTGTTAGACTTGTATAATGATAGATGGTTAGAAGTAGTCGTGAAGAATAACTCCATGACTTTACTTTCGTGTTAGTTGATACTTGTCAACAAGATTTATCTATGTTCTTGACGGAATAAATGTTCAATATGAAATTTCAGCATCATTGATACTCAGTGAATGTACCTTAGACTGACACCAGATCAGTTGGAGCGCTGTGACAATATTTATCAATTAGATAACTTCATTATTTTCATACGAAAACCCAATAAATGTCACTAATATTCACTCATGATGGTACTATTAATTCTATGTCAACTAGGTACAATGGTTACTATTAATTAGTTGTTAAAAATATTCTTTCTCCTTGTCTACGCATTACCAACTATGACATTTAAGCCTTCTTTAAATAACTTCATTTTAATAATTGAATTCATGAGTTGAATAAAGCTAGACCGCCATGGAAAACCTGGAAGCACTGGGTGGCTGTTTCGTCCTAGTACGGGACTTCATTTGAAACAGTTTGACACAAATCGCTTCTGAATATTGTATTAGGATTTTTGTTTCTTCTATATGTCTCTTGTTCTTGTTCTGTGCAATTTCAAAGTCGATTTCATTGATTAAGATGTGAAAAGCTCCGTTTATCATTATATAACTAACGGTAGCTCAAATAGAAAGTCTTGAAATACAATAGAATTACACTATTCGGTAAATCTTATTCGTCTTGCTTAATTTGAATTTATCAAGGTATCAAAATATATGAAATTTAGAAATGAAATCACAATTTGGAAATCAACTATTCCAAAATTCTGTAAAGAAACAGTTGTTTCGATGAGCTTCAGTGATAATGATGGTTAATTTGATGCACAAATTTATGACATACATAACACCATTATTCATTTGGTATTGTTTAATTGTATGTTGTCATTGATGATTAAGACTGCAATTGATCAATCTCTTGTTGGCACATGTGCGTTCTGTGTGGACTGCCTCGATATTGCCTTAATTCACAAGCAATATAAACAAAGATGGATAGTAGTTGGCAGTGGAATTGAGGACGCGCGTTTCGTCCTATTCTGGACTCGTCGGCTGAATATACCTGCAACTCACAGTTGATGTTCACCCTGAGACTCGAACTCAGTACTGTTCGCTTCAAAGTGTAACTATTGCTTACTTCTTTATATCATATTGGTTGGTTTTCTATTGAAATCAATCGGAATATTCAAGTAAATTTAAAGTGAATTCTAGTGAACTTAAATTTCATTCCATTGCACAAGCAGGCGGCTATCAGGACTCAGTATCTAAGTAGATAAAGCCATGGTGTTTAAAGTGAACGGTACTGGGTTGGAGTTCCGGAGTGAACATCAACACGAATGGAGCTACATCCAGCTGACGTGTCCCATATAGGATGAAACGCGCATCCTGGATTCTACTGCTAGCCACTATTCATCTTCGCTTATAATCCTTGTGAATTAAGGCAATTTCGAAGCAGCATGCACATATGCCAATAAAAGATTGATCGATTGCTGTTCTAAACATCAATCTAAAGGTTCAGACAAACAACACGAAGTGGCTTCAAAATTCACCCCATGGCACAACCAAGTGGCTATCATGACGTTACTAGATTTGTGTCTCAGAGTGAACCTCAACTCTGAGATGCTGATACAGCCTACTGATGACTCCCAAATAGGATAAAACATACGTCCTAGATTCCACTGATAACCACTATCCATCTTTGCTTATGATACTATTATCCTCATATTATTTATTGATTATTTTCAACAATAATTATGAATTCACTTGGTATTGTTTTGCTTGTATCTTACCATTGTTATTTAGGACTGCAACTGACCAGTCACTTATTGGCATATGTGCATCCTGTGCGTATTGCCTTGATATAGCCTTAAGTCATAAGCTTGCTCAAGCAAAAATGGATAGTGACTAGCAGTGGAATCCAGGACGCGCGTTTCGTCCTATTTAGGACTGATCCCGGACTAAACATCAACTCTGGGATGCGGGAAAATCCAGCTGACGTGTCCCATATAGGATGAAACGCTCATTCTGGATTCCACTGTTAGCTACTATCCATCTTTTATTAATTATGAATATTCAATATAAATTTGTTGATAGATAGATTGTTTCTTAAACGTTTTATTTGTCTTCACAAATATATATATATGATTAAATTTTAAAATGACTTGCATTTGTATAATTCTATTGTAATTGATATTAACATTCGATCTGCACTAATAAGGACTAGACAAGCATGACATTGATCACCACCCAGTGATCAATCAATTGTGATTACATCTCAGTCTTACAGGAGGTCAGTCGCGGCCCAGAGAGCCCGGTGGTAACGTTTCTGATTGTGAAGCTGGGTGACACGAGATTGAATCCGTCAGGGAGCACCAGTTCCCTCAACATTACAGGTATACCTTGCTGATGAGTGCCAAGTAGCACGAAACCCGTGTCCAGGATTTCCTGTCGACCACCTCCAACCACCATCTTAACTCAACAAAGTGCACGCAGTATCGAGTCACCTAGACTAGTGGCCACATTGCGACTTGATCGATAGCATTCGATCTGCATTAAGAAGGACTTGACACAAATGACATTGATCATTACCCAGTGATTGATAGGAAAAAAAAGGAAAAAATAATAATTTCTAAATTCCAACATTTTTATTGGTTAAAAATAAGAAGCAATTTCATGAATCTTATCAACCAATCAAATCAAAGTATTCAGACGAATAAAATCTTTTCTTTATTTCATTCATTCATTTAGGATTATCCAATTAAAATTACGAAAAAAAAAAGAAAAAGAAAAGAAAAAAGAAAAATTAAAGAAAAAAAGAAAAACAAAAATTGCAAATTCTTTTAATTATAGTCCATTATTTCTGATTGAATTCATCATTATTGTTATGTTATGGATGAACCAATACATAATCATGTTATTGATGAATCAAATAATTTACCATTTACAAAAAGTGAAGTAACATTTTTAGTTATTCTATTTGCAGCAGTTATCATATTAGCTGTAGTTGGTAATACAATTGTATGCATATTATTACGTTTTCGTTATTGTAATCTATTGAAATGTTTTACAAATACATTAGGATGTAAAAAGAAATCTACATTATCTAAATCAATTCATCATCATCATAATCATAATCATCATCATAATCATAATCATAATAACAATATTGATCCATGGGTTGATGAATGTCCAAGTAGTCAACATGAATGTAGTTGTGGTAAAACATGTATTGTACAAAATACACATCGTTATGTCATATTTAAATCAATGCATAAACAACATGAACCAGGTACAAGTGGTGGAAATTATGCTGGATCTATTACTGTAGCTAATAATCTATCAGTATTACCAAATGAAAAACGAACTAATTTCACAACAAAACATAAATGGAAAGCTGATAATTATTTAAGAGGAATGCGTACATCAAGTATAACAAGTTTATTTTTATTTAATCTTAGTTTAGCTGATATACTTATGGCTGTATTATGTATACCAATGAATGTGATTACAGAAATTGTTTATTTATGGTGGCCACTTGGTGAACCATTATGTAAAATTGTACCATATGCACAAGGTGTCAGTGTATTTGTTAGTGCATTAACACATGTACTTATATCATGGGATAGATTTGTATTAGTATATTTTCCATTACAACCAAGAATGACACAACGTAAAGCAATTTATTTATTACTTAGTGTATGGATATTAGCATTAATTATACCATTACCAGTACCTATTGTAAATAGAACAATAAAACGTGATAATGAAACATTTTGTATAGAAGATTGGAGTTTATTATTATCATCTATTAAAACAATTAATATGGATAATTTTACAAATTTGGAACAAATTAAAAATGAAATTACAATACAATTTAATGATAAATCAATTATATTACAAATTGATGTTATCTATACAATATTATTAATGATATTACAATATTTTTTACCATTAGGTATGATATGTGGAACATATACAGCTATAGGTATTAAAGTTATACGTTTACAAACACCTGGTGAACGGGATAGTGCAAGAGATCAAAAATTAACTAGAGCTAAACGAAAGGTAAGTAAAAAAACACTATTCAGTTTAGATTGAAATGAGAGGGGCTTTAATCAGTATATAATCGTATTTTTCGTTAAACGTTATTAAGTTTAAATGACTGATTATCAACATGTCACTTATAGAAATAACCATTTCATACATATATGAGTTGATCTAAGCTAGATCACTATTGGAAACCTTGATAAAAGGTCATACAAGATCATAGATTGATTGAAGCTGGACATTACCATGGTTGCATACTGACTCAGTGAATAAGACAGAAGGTCCTAAGTCCGAGTCCTGCCCGTAAATTATGGATGCGCACTGCTGAGGAGTTCTGTACTAGGATGAAACAGTGGTTCATAGTCTCCAGGTTTTCGATTTTGGTCTAGCTTACATCAATTCATGAATTCAACTGTAACAAAACCACAATCTTCACAAGTTCTCATATTGCTATAAATAGTGATTATAGTCCTCACTTATTTCTTGTTTTTTTTAATAAACCAGATAATTTATGAAAGATCTGTTGTCATTATTATTTAAATGAAAACAATCTGTCAAAGAGCACAAAACTAAACTTTATATTTCAAACAGTCTTCTCATTTTCATGTTATTTATTCAACAGACTGAAAAGTAATAATTAGTTTTCTATAGTTGTAATATGTAAGGAGACTGTAATTAGACGACTGGTATCGAAAAACTGGTGGAAAATAGTGTTACCTAATTGAAGTTCGAACTCTAGACAAGTGTACAATGAAACGGTCATACGTTGTAACATAAATCAAACAGTTTATGCTTCTGTACTAGAACGTAACTAATTCTTTCGGTGAGACTATAATTTATGAACGAACCAATCACTTATTCATTTGAATCAATAGAGTTTTGGCAATATAGCTGATGTTAGTTCATGATCATCAACTGTAAATCATAATTGTAATTCCTCAAACACAGCTTTGTAACCCTCATTTGGTTCTACTTATTAGGTGGACACTCTCAAGGTTAGTCTAGAGTTGCTCAAAAGTCATCTATTCTTTCAACTATTGTATGGTTATTTCATTAAAGTCACTTTTTGACATGAATGTTTTTGCTATTACATAGTCTTATTTGGGTTTTGTAATTGTAATAAAAAAGTATGTTGGGAAAAGAATTACTTGATGGTTCAGAAACATGATGATTTGTCCTGAAAAACAAACAAAAAATTTTGAGCACTTCAGTTTGTCCTTAATCTTTATAAAACAAAATTCTGAAATTTATTTCAATGTCTACACCCTTCTATTTTTGGCATAGATAGATAAATTTTTGTATATATATACAACCGGCTCTGTTGTGAGATAGTAACTCACTTAAGACAATAGTGGACAGTGGCTTAGTGGTCTAAAGGTTAAGCGTTTGTGGGTTCGAATCTCGTGTCGCGGATCGTGGATGTGCACTGCTGACGAGTACCATACTAGGATGAAATGGCCATCCACTGCTTCCTGGTTTTCTATGGTGGTATAGCTTTAATTGACTCATGAATTCAATTATAAAAATACTCTTTAAATGAATTTATTAATAGTTGTATTAGATAGTTAGATCTAATAAGCAGAAAGGCTTAAATCGGTAGATTGAATAAACACAACTTTAATAAGGAATTATTGATGAAACGAGATAAATATTTCGGCTAATCGCTGCCTGAATATCTCACTGATGACATCTATGGCTTAAATTTAACTGTGAAAATTGTTTTCACTAAGACATCAGGTACAACATTCAGTGGTTATTTATTCTCACAAAATTTAAGGTGTACATTGTTGACTAGTGTCAACTAATATAAGACTAAGAAGTAAGGTTGCCTTCTGATAGTCTACAATCACCAAATATAAAAGCATACTGTATGCAATATTGAATATTCACCATACCTCATATACAGAAATAAATTAACACTGCAGGCCAAGAAAAACACGACATCAGCCAATACACAGTAATGCATTGCTCCAGCCTACTTATGTTATCTGGTAGTGAGTGTTCAAAGTAGTTTGTACTTTTATGTAAATAAGAAACCAATGACTTATATAAGCTAAATGTATGTATGCAAACAAAAATATTCATTTGCAAACTCATCGAATAATTCTATTTGTATGTCAGTTCAAATACTCATACAGAGACTTTCGACTAGTACACGTTGTTTTATAATCTAGTATTTTGTAACTAGGATGATTGGTTTTTAAATGTAGACACCAACACTGAGGCGTGTTTATATACGATTGATGAGTTTTAATTAAAATGACAAATGCTACACTGATTTTATTGAAAACTGCATTTGGTTATGTAGCCTACATGGTAACTTTAACAGACCACTAGAACCCAGAATATCATTAAAGGGATAATAAGAATATGTACAGTTTACCATAATTACGTCATATGTAATTTCATCAAAGTTAACAGGGAGGAATTCTGGTATTTAGATTGTTTCATGCTTACATACTTACTTACTTAATTACCTATGCCTGTTACTACTCGTGGAGGACCATAGTCCATGTCATGGTCAATCCTTTCCAGTTCTTTCCAGTTGTTATTCATACTCTTTGTATCTGCTTCCAATTCCCGACATAGTGTCTTCTTCGGCCATCCCTTCAGGATTACAAGTTATGACTTGCCTCATGATTCAGTTTAATGATTTCCTCAATGTATATCTTATTTTATTATTATTATTATTAGCTTTATTCAATATTATAATTTTGGTACAATATAGAATTCTCAGCGCAAAGTATTTCAACAAGTTTCCGTTTCTTTCTTCTTGGTCGGTCCTGGCGATAAATATTGAGGAATCGCCAGTTAGATGTTAGCACTTCAGTGAATGAACAACTGAATAACGTACATTCTTTTCGTTGTACATTGCCAGCAACCATATTGTCTCTTATTGAGTTTTCTGTAACTTTGACAACGAAAGGTTGTACACTTTTCAGAAACGCAGCAGAATAGGTTATGCGATTAATAAACATAATGATATATTAAAACAAACAACAATAGATAACTTGTTGAAATATCTAGATGGCAGGAACAGGTAGCCCAGATGCTCAAGCAGGCCGCCCTTATTCATATCCAACGTCTTTTCCTAATTTCTTCTTCAGTCGGAAGCTGGTTTATACTCTCATATAGTTAGCAGTAGTTCAAGTTACATTCCCATAAATCTCCAAGTATTCGATCATCCAGAACTTTTCATTTTTTTTCTATAGATATCAAGATTATAATTTATAAAATAAAACATTTTAAAACTTAAAATTATGATCAATGGATAACTCTATTGAGTAGTTGATCATTATATTCCATGTTAAGACTTATCCATATGTTATGAATGTAACTGTCAATGTATTATACTCATTATATATCTAAAAATATATCCAACTAGTTTGAAGTGTGTTGCTGACTAAGTAACTGACTTGATGAAGCAATAGATGACCTGAAAAATAATTGTAAGCTTTTGCTTGTTATAATGTTTCAGTAGAATAAAATCTATACCAGAACTGTATAAAAAAGATATTGATTATGATTTGACAATCAGTGTTCATATAAACATTCTTTGAGACGTTTATTTGGAATGAACAACATAATTTTAATAATCAGAGAGGTTTTTTGGATAATATAGTAATTTAATAGTTGAAGTCATGAGTCAATTGATGCTAGACCACCATGGAGAAGTTGGAAGCACTAGGTGCATGTTTCGTCCCAGTGAAGTACTTCTCGTCAATGTGTATCGACAAACTCTCCCGTGAGATTCGAACCTAGGAACCAACTTCGTGGATTGATTGAAGTTAGGTATTATCACCTTTGGATGCCGGCCGACTCATTGGTGCAGAGGTTAAATAGAGTTATGAATCTTCAGGTTTGCTTAATGTTTACCTTATTATATAAGAGTACTAACATTATAATTCGTTTTCGATCAAGCTGATGAGTTTCATTTTAAACATGCCTTTATGATACTCTTGCTAGACACAATACAACTTTAGGTCAACTTGTGAATAAATGATCACTTTACTGTCGAACATCCCAATATTCTGAATGAAGAAAGTGTATAAAATGATATAATATAAACAATGAATATTGAAATGTAGTTGCGTTACAAATTCACGGATACGTCTATTCTCTAAATCCATCTAATTGTAAAATAGAACGCAGCCTTCTCCACAATATTTTAGCTAACTTGTGTTAGACATAGAGCTTTATTCGAATCCCTCTTTTTCTTCACATTTCATGATAACTAAACAATTAAACAAACCATTACCAACTGTTAGATTACGTACCAAATGATATCAATGGTAGTGTAGTCGAACATGCAAGTGAAGACAACCATATATGTTTGAACACAAAATTACAGAACATCTTAGTTAAATCTGAGATCCATACATTAAATACTTCATTTGTAAAATGTCAATCGACTGTCTCAAAACTGACTATTCTTTCGTTTACATATCAATCATTCACTGTTCTTGTTTTCTTCTATTCGATCTTCTTAACCCTCTAACTGTCAGACATATCACTTTCGTTTAATGATACATACTACTTATATCAGTCGACATCAGTAGTAAACACCATATTAATACTATCAACATATGTGAAACAATTTTACATTTACTGTAAAGTTGCTTATTTGTAAACAATCTATTTACAAATCAAAATGTATAATAGATTGATATTAAACAAATTGACAGACTTTTTTTAAATTCAGATCATGAACCGATTGATGTTAGACCATCGTTGGAAACCTGGAAGCACTGGACGGCTGTTTCGTCCTATTGTGGGACTTCCAGCAGTGCCCATCCATGATCCCGCCCGCGGGATTCAAACTCAGGGCCTTCATTCTTGCACGTGAACGCTTTACCTACTGCACCACTGAACCGGCTGGCATCCAACGGTGTTAATTTTTAACCTCAACCGATCCGCGAAATTGTGCGACCATTTTCCATTGTACTAAGTTAGATACCTGCCTCTACCCAACACGGATTACACAGATATTTGTTTATACTTAAGTTAAAAGTAGTAAG